CACCCGAACAGACTCCGAGTCTGGATCATGGTGCGTCAGAAATGAAAGCGCGCTCAAAAGCGAGGTCGACGGTGCCATGACGAGGCCCCTGCGCACATGCGGCGGGATCTGCAAGATTATCCAATTAGCTCCGTCGCCTTTTAGCTTGTGTATATAAGCGCTCTGTATGCTGTTCTTTAGGTTTATCTGCACACCGCTGAATGCTGATCGGCTGACATCGAGTTCTTGAGGATACACTGCTATTAGCTAGCTAGAATACGATGGGTGATCTGCAGATCGTGCTGGCAGGGGGGACGATCGAGGCGCAGCACGTGGAGATGAAGGTGCCGCTCTACTCCTACGGCTGCGAGAAGAAGATCAAGAAGGCGCTGTCGAATCTGAAAGGTACGCATCATGTCATAGGACATTTCTACGGGAAACCGCCTGAGCAATGGGTACGTTAGGGCGGCCATGCATGAATGCTAAGCTTGCTGCTACTTGCAGGGATTCACTCGGTTCAGGTGGATTACCACCAGCAGAAGGTGACGGTGTGGGGGATCTGCAACCGGAACGACGTGCTGGCGGCCGTCCGGCGGAAGCGGCGAGCGGCGCGGTTCTGGGGCGCGGACCAGCCGGATCTGGGCGAGGACGCTAGGCAGGGGGACGCCTCCAAGCACTACCTTCGAGCGTTCGCCGCGTACAGGAGTAGGAAGTCGTGGAAGAAGCTCTTCCCCATGATCCGGCTGTAACAGCAGTAGGCCGCGAGCGCGATGTTTTGTCTCAGTGCCTGCTGGCTGCTGCATGCATGGCCGCGTGCGTGTTGCACTGCAGTAATGGCCGGGAGTTGCTGGTAGTTTGGTACAGTAGCGCATGATGTTACATATCGAATAAATGTGCTCTGTCCTTGCCTTTTGGAATCGGCAGATTGCTCTGTAATCTGTAGGTTGGCAAATCCTTGCGATGCTGGAACTTTTTTTAAAAAAAAAACTTTCAATCTATTCATCGTATCATGGCAGTATAAAGAACACATAAATGATAAAAACTACATACATGCTCTTAGACCACTTAGCAAAGGTTTTAAAATATTAAAAGTTTAAAACTGTATTCCACATCGACGCATGGATTAATCAAATTAGTATACGTACAGATCTGCGAACTGAGAGTATCTCAGATGGTTAAGTTCATTGTGGTGGAACCAACCCACAGGGTTTGTCCTAGACACTGATGGTCGCATTTTTCTGAATTTATTTCAGTCCTATTGGTGATGTGCATTCAGTGGGAGGAGACGTTTCTGTCAACTACGAAGGCGTTCATGACCACTTCGACAATCTCAAGATGTTGTGCCGGCTCAATATCTTGAAAGTGCTCATAAAGATAGGGTGCGCTTGCGTGCATGGGTTCATAGGGTTAAGTGTATGTGTGTTTAGGTGAGCATCTGCGTTTGTACTCTGTTAAAAAAAGGTACTCCCTCCTACAGGCACAACTCTGGACGGGCCAGATCAAGAAATTCCGCTAAAATTTCGTCCTCAGGCTCAAAGTTAGCTCTACTCTCCACTGAATTTTTGTTGGGCTGGGCGGGCTATAGCCTGGTTTGGCCCAGCTGTAGCTCTGCCACTGCTCCCTCTGTCCCATAATATAAAAATGAGCTTGAAAAACGTTTTTATATTATGGGACAAAGGAAGTACCTCAGATCTCACCGCCGATCATTTGATCAAGACATCAAGTTCATAAATCAATCGTTCATGGCCCGATCCTATTCTCTATGCACCACGAGGTATTGAAAACAATTGTGTAACCTTGATGCAAGCGGTCGAGCGCATGCACTATATGGGTCGGCCCATTTTGGTTTTCCACACACGGTTTTGAAAACGTTATATAACCTTCCTTGAACCCTTTTTCCTTTTTTTCCTTTTCTTTTTTCTTTTCTTAAATTCATGTTTTCTTCTGCATATGTGACCCTTTTTCAAATCAGAAATTGTGTTTAAAAACTGCAATTGATTTTTCAAATTTGTGAATTTTTATGTGAGATTTTTTTTAAAATACTGAACAATTTCTCAAATACGCAAATAATTTCCAAATTTATGATATATTTGGCAATACGTGAATAGATTTTGAAATATAGGAAATTTTCAAATTTATCAACTTTTTGAAATCCAAGAAACATTTCTAAATTTCGAAACATTTTTTGAAGTGCAAGAACATAGCTCAAAATCACGAACTTTTTTTCAAATATGGGAACATTTTTTTCCAATTCATTAACTGTTTTCTTGAATATCTGGAAAAAATAAAAATACAGAAACTATTTGAAAATTCATGAACATATTTTGAAATCTGGGATCATTTTTTGAATTCCTGAATATTTTTGTAATATAGGTACAAATTTCAAATTCATGAACATTTTAAATCCATTTTTTTTCAAATTCATGGTCATTTTTTAAATCGGTACATTTTTTAATATAGGTACAAATTTCAAATTCATGAACATTTTAAATCCATTTTTTTTCAAATTCATGGTCATTTTTTAAATCGGTACATTTTTAAATGCATGAACATTTTTTGAAATAAGATAGCAATTTTAAAATTCAGGAGCATTTTGAAATCTTAGAACCATTTTAGAAAATTTTGAACACTTTTTGGATTTCGAAGCATTCTTTGAAATCCAAATATTTCTCAAATTTATGATATTTCTTTAAATCTGGAACACTTTCTCGAATTTATAAAAAAATTAAGAACATCTTTCAAGTTAAAAAACCAAAAAGAGGAAGAAAACAGTGGCACCCGCCCGACCAGCACATGGCATGTGTGTTTGTGACCATCCCGGTTTAGGTGGTCGGCTGAAGCATACGGGAGACCATCATTTGCCTTAAGTGCCGTTAGAGTGCATTTTGCGACTTGGCGCCCGCCGCGCCCCCTCCGCTCCGGGCTGACAGATTTACTTTTTTTTCCTGTTTTAAACCCCAAAACAGTGTGCACAATGTGATTTGAACCGCGCTCCTCCCGGTTTAGTATCGAACACAATAACCAGATGGGTCACCAGACCTGTTGTGCGAGTTTCCTTTTCTTATTTCTTAAAATGCAACGGTGGAAAAACACAGTTGTTTCCTGTTTTTTCTCTTCCTTTTTCTTTTTGTATTTTTACTTTCTTAAATGCGTGAACATTTACAAATTCTTGCTTTTTTAAAATTGATGAACATTTTTTCCAAATCCATGAAGTTTTCATTTTTGTGATTTTTTTCCCAAAGTGATGAATTTCTTTTCAAAATCGATGAACTTTTTTCAAGTTTGTTATTTTTTCTTCAAAATGATTAACTCTTTCTCAAAATCAATGAAAAAATTCCAATTTTGTGGACTCTATTTTTTGGACCTTTTTCCATTTTATGAACTTTTTCAAATTTGTAATGCTTTTTCAAAACTTGCAAACTTTTTCTCAAATGGGTGAACTTTTTTATAAAACCTGTAAGCCTTTTCTTATTTCACAATTTTTTTCAAAGTATTTTCTAGCAGACTAACAACATGAAAAATAAAAAACACTAGCGAGCGGCCAGGAGAGCGAAGCGAGTGGCACATCACCTGCAGCGAGCAAAGGGCAAGGAGCGAATTCGCGTTGCTGGTCCGCGACCCGCTTGGGAATGCGTGAGTGCTAGCTCTCCTTTCCGGCACTGAAGGGGAGGAATAGGAGCCCTCTTATTTGGAAACCCACAGCCGGCAACAAATACCCTAAAAAATACCAATTCCTAGGGGGGCACTTTCGGAACCTTCAACCCATTGTGTTGAAGGCTTGGTTAACTTCGAAGTTGAAACTCTTTTCGCCTAGCTTGTCATGTCGGATAGTTAACCACCTTGCACAACACGGATGGACAGCCACTTTCTAGATCTCATATGCTCCCATGGTACGGAGTCACCTAGGCTATTAGATTTGAGATCCAATGCTCATTTGGAGAGATTTGGGACATGCATGTATTAGGTGACTCCAAGAGGTTTTGCGGGAGCACTGTAGGAGACCATTGGATCTCAGATTTGATGGCTCGGATGCTCTCGTATCATGAGATCATACTAGCTTCGGGAACATCTCATATGCACTCTTTGCCCTCTTTGCAAGTAGCCTTCGTAGCTCGTCGCCTTTTTCAGTACGGATACTTCATATGAATCTTGTTGTGGTTGCAGAACGATATAAATGGAGACGGGCCAAAGCAGGCAGTTCGCTATGAAGTGATGTGGGATACCCGTGAAGGATTAAAACCAAGCATTGATGTTGCATGGAAGTTGAACAACCATGAATCAATGGTGCATGATGTTCGGTCCCAGATGGCTGGACTAGCTTCTAATCTTCGATGTCGGAGTGGAGAGTCTTTCGTCAATGTTAGAAAGGACATCAAGAATTTTAGAAGGGATTTTGAATTTCAAAAAGGCTGGTGACGCGGACGGTATGCGGTGGCGGTGACGAGAACAGTGGTAGGGCCATGATACGTCTCCAATGTATCTATAATTTATGAAGTATTCATGATGTTATTAACATTCTTGGATGTTTTACAATCATTTTATAGCAACTCTTTGTCATTTTTTGGGACTAACCTAATGACCCAGTGCCCAGTGCCAGTTGCTGTTTTTTGCTTGTTTTTTACATCATAGGAAATCAATATCAAACGGGGTCCAAACATCGCGAAACTTTTTGTGGATTTTTTATGGACTAGAAGACATACAGTGGGTCAGAGCAGCACCTGGGGGTGCCCCGAGGGGGCACAACCCACCAGGGCGCGCCTGGGGGCCCAGGCACGCCCAAGTGGGTTGTGCCCACCTCGGTGGCCTCCCGCACCCCCTCTTCGCCCTATAAATTGCCAAATTTTCCAAAACCCTCAAGGGTTAACCTAGATCAGAAGTTCCGCCGCCGCAAGGCTCTGTAGCCACCGAAAACCAATCTAGATCCTATTCCGGCACCCTGCCGGAGGCGGAAATCATCACCGGTGGTCATCTTCATCATCCCGGCGGCCACCACGATGAGGAGGGAGTAGTCCACCCTCGGGGTTGAGGGTTTATACTAGTAGCTATGTGTTTAATCTCTCTCTCTCTCCCTCTCTCTCTCTCTCTCTCGTGTTCTTGAGATGTCATGATCTTGATGTATCGTGGGCTTTGTTAATATAGTCGGATCATATGGTGTTTTCCCCTCTCTATCTTGTTGTCATGAATTGAGTTTTTCCTTTGAGATTTCGTTGTTATCAAATTGAATACTTTTATGAATTTGAGAGCACTTGATATATATCTTGCATATGAATACTCGTGGTGACAATGGGGTATCGTATGGATTCACTTGATATATGTTTTGGCACTCAACTCGCGGATTCATGAGGTGACATTGGGGTAATCTATGAATAGGGGTCGATGCATGTTCTTGTATTTGTTTCTCTGGTAAAATCTTGGAGCACTCTTTGAGGTTCTTAGTGTTGGATTGAGTATCATGAATCTGAAATTATTTGGTGTTATTTTAGTACAAACTCTTGGATAGATCGATCGGAAAGAATAGCTTCGAGGTGGTTTCGTACCCTACAAACGTTTTCTTCTTATGTTCTCTGCCAGATAGGAACTTCGGAGTGATTCTTCATCGCACTTTGAGGGGTGGTTATATGATCCAATTATATTAGCATTGTTGAGATATTGCACTAGCGAAAGTACGGACCCTAGGCCTCATTTTCAAGCATTGCAATACCGTTTTTGTGCCCATTTACTATGTGCTACCTTGCTGTTTTTATTTATC